GTGAAATAAACAAGTTGATTAAGTAGCAAGGACAATCTCTTTTAAAGATTGAAGATGCAAAGTGATTCTTTACACCTCTGCATTCAGTGAAGAGGAAAGACAATCTACATCCAAAGACTTAGTTATAGGAACGACCTTTATAAAGAAGCAAATAGAATATGAACGACCAATATATATAGTGGTTCCAAATCTTGCATCAGTGGTGGAAAAGACAACTAAAGGAGTAGAACTAGTAAAGCAATTCATACAAAAATATCATGATGTCTTTCCAACCAACCTACCTAGTGGCATACTTCTTGATTGAGGTGCCCCCTTTCAAATAGAACTATTACTTAGAGCCAAACCAAGAAGTCGACTAATTTATTATGTGCCACTAAAAAAACTTAAAAAGCTATAAAAGATATTAGATGAATTTTTAGAGAAAAGCCTCATTCAAAAAAAGACATCACCATGGACAGCACCTATATTCTTTGTACTTAAGAAAGATGGTGGACTTTGTCTTTGCATCAATTATTAAGGCCTCAATAAGTAGACTATTAAAAATGCATATCCACTTCTATGTGTGGAGATCTTCTTGACCAACTTTGAAGTATAACTATCTTTAGTAAATTGGATCTTTAAAGCAGCTATTGACAAAGACCTATTGCAAGAAAGGATGTAGAAAAGATGACATTTTTTACGCAGTATAAATATTTTGAATAGCTAGTTTTATCCTTGTCTCATCAATACTCCAACCTCTTTTATAAATCACATGAATCAATTGTTTCAAGACCTTTTGAATAAATATGTAGTTGTTTTCATTGATGATATCCTCATATATAATAAAATCTCTAAAAAGCATGAGTAATACCTATAAGAAGTGTTACATCGACTACAAGATAGTGGCTTCTATTGCTAGAAATTAAAATATAAACTTTGGAAGTTAGAAGTCACCTTTTTGGAGCATGTAGAATCCTCCAAAGGTATGCGTATGGAACAAGATAAGGTAAAAGCAGTAGAGGATTAGTCAATCTTCAAGGATGCTTTTGAAGTTCTCTCATTTTTAAGCCTTATTTGATACTATTGTCATTTTGTTTGGCAATTTACTCACATTACTGCCTCATTGACAAACCTATTAGAAAAAGGTGTCTCGTTTGAATGGAGATGAGAGCAGCAAAATGCCTCTGATAAGTTAAAGGAGGCACTTATTACTGCTCCAATATTGCAACCATATAATCCCAATCTTCCTTGTACACTTGATATTGATGCTTTCGACTTTGCTATTAGAATAATCCTTCAAGAAGACTTTGGTAGGAGCCTTCAACATGTGGCATATGAATCACGCAAGATCAGAAAGACAAAGTGTAATTACTTTGCATGTAATCAAGAGCAATTAGAGATTGTATATGCCACAAACATATAGCAACTTTATTTATTATGAAAGCCAGTGGTTGTTTGGATTGACCATCGATCCTTGCTACGTGATTTGCATCTGAAAATTATAAAATTGAAGCATTATCATTAGAAAGAATAATTGTTATAAGTAAAGGCGACAACTTATTGCAAAGACCAAACTTGAAAGACAAATGAGGAGATAAGACAAAAGTTGCTACCATTAGTAGTGTCATTAGAAATCTAACCAAATACGTAGAATGAAAGAAAGCTATGTATTAGGATGCTTATTTCAAGATGGTTAGTGATTGGTTGAAAATGAGCAATATACAATATTAGGATTACACTCTTAATGATGGCTTGTTGTATCTCAAAAAATAAATTTATGTACCTGACAGTGTTAAACTTTGGATGCCCATACTTTAAAAAAGACATGATATTTTGATATCTAGACATCTAAAATAAGAAAAGATTCTAAAATAGAACTAAAGGATATGGTTTTGAGCAGATTTGGATCATGATATTTGAGCCTTTATATGCTCCTACGAATCATATCACCATAACAAAGTATGCAACATAACGTCTCTTGGACTATTGCAGCCAATTTTACTACCTATAGTATGTTGGAAGCAAGTTATTATGGATCTTATTGCATGTTTATTGCAGACGTTTTATAATTACACTCTAATTGTCGTCTTTATGGATTGACTCTCAAAACAACTTTACTTGGTCGCAATACATTTGTATATTGATGATGCAATGCTTACACTAGTCTTCTTTAATATTGTCTTTTGTCACCATGGATTACCTCATGTCATTGTTTCAAATCAAGATCCATGCTTCATAGGAAGTTTTTGGCAAGCTTTTTTCAAGCTACTAGGCACACGACTTCTTATGTCTATATTCTTTCATCCCAAATAGGTCAAAAAATAGAGTATGCAAATCAAACCTTGGAGGACATGTTGTGGGTATTTTTAGAGATTCATCATAATGATTGGGATGAATACTTGATGCCCTTGGAGTTTGCTTATAATGATAGTATTCAAGCAAGTATCAGTCATTCACCATTTTTTCCTAATATTACTCAATATCCAATTATACCAGCAACTCTTCATCATCTCCATAGACACCAACAACTTGACAATGGAGGAATTTATATGACGGCTTACAATGGCCTTACATGACGCACGACACCACCTCTTTTGGCACAGAATTGATAGAAGCAATATGTGAATAATCATTAGCAACACAATACCTTCCGAAAGAGTGATCACGTGTTACTCTCTAATGCCAACTTGCCACTTGCTATATCAACCCAAATCCGCAAACTAACACCTTGGTGGCTTGGACCTTTCCGTATTTATGTAGTTTTTGATGTTGTATACCACCTCAAGCTTCTGCCACATATTTGGGTCCATCCAGTCTTTCATGTTTTGTAACTAAAGGAATTTCATACTGAGCCAAAGCACTTTTCACATTGACACTAACCACCGCCACCACCAATTATAGTTGATGACCAACAAGAATATGAAGTGGACAGCATTTTGGAGCATCACTACTTCTATCATGGTATTGGTTGTCTATAATTTCTATACAAAGTTCTTTGGAAAGATTATCATATTCACAATGCAATATAGGAACCTGCACAAAACCTCAACCATTGCCAAGAGATTATTTGGAGATACCATTGGGAGCAAAACGATGATGTTTTATATTAATAGAGGAGGATTAATAATAACAAGGTATAGATAAGATAATTATATAGATAGTTAGAACTATGGAAGTTTCTAGAATTGAGGTTAGATTAGTGGACTAGATAGGATCCATTGTGGAATATTTTAGAAAGAATTTAAGGCACTTATATAGGTAAGGCCCACCATAGAATCTTCTAGAAGGAATTTAAGGCAATTATCTAGAGAGGATCGACTACTTAAGAATATTTTAGAAAGTCTAGGATGGTAGAACAAGGTATAAATAGGATTGTCAAAGGCCTTTTGGAATACTTGGTCAGAAATGATTTTGGATCTTTTCTCTTAGTAAAATTTGGTTTTATATCTTTCTGTTCAAATTTTTTTTGTTCTATTTCTATTTTCTCAATTTTACCTTTCATGTCTTATTCTATTTAATTCCGTTCAATTTTTTTCTGGTTTGTTTTGTCCTATTTTTTTATGAAGCTTTATGTTATTGTGGAGTAGAAAGATCTTGGATTTTTGAGATAGTTTGGTCTCGTCTCAACACATATAGGAAACTTGCTTTGCAAGTTAGATACGTGCTCTATAAGTTGGACACATTTTAGATGACCTTATAAAATGTTGTTTTGTAGCTCTTTAATTAGATAGTATTCATGGAAGCAAAAATGAGGCCTTCTTCATTCTTATCAATGTATTTCTTGTGTTCTTGTCTTAGCTAAAGAATTTCTAATATCTTTGTATTTGATAATAGTTATTGTAGTTTCCATCTTATATTTATCTTTGATTTGTCTACTTTTTATTTTTAAGTGTTATAAGAGTATATTTTTTCTTTAGAATTTTGTTATGATTTATGTCTTTGATGAGTGTAAATTAGATATATATGGATATTTTTAGATTTAACATATTATCATAAAAAATTCTTTTAAAAGTTCTTATCTTTGTATATGTATTTATAGAAGGATTTTAAAACTTAGATACTTAATCCAAAAGCTTCAAGGTCTTTAAAAAGCTCCTATATGACTTTTTTGTTATCTAATATATATGCAAAAATAAGATCAAAACCACCTTTAATATTTTCAATTTTTTTTCTTGTATTCTAATCTTAGATAAAAAAAATCTCTTATTTTTTGTACTTAGTTATATCTTCTTCAATATCTTGTTATTTTATAAATAAAATTTTCTTAAACTTTTTTTTTCTTTTTAGTTGGGTATGAGTATATTGTTCTTTTAGAAGTTTAATAAGATCAGGTAATATATACATTTATATATATATATATATATATATTTATATATATATTTATATACGTCTCAATCCATTATCTAATACACAACTAACACAATCCTTTGCCTTGCCCTTGTCTTCAGTGAAAAATTTTAAAAAATGAAATTACAATTTCAACTTAAGTTTTTTTTTAAATGTACAAAAATAGACATGTGCAAAACTTTTTGAAATTAATTGCTTTGTCACATCCTTCGCTCCAAATATAAATCCTAACTTGAAAGCACAACAACTAAAAAGGTTGTCTATGCTAACGCCACAAAGGATGGCCACAAAGAATTTTTCCAACTTCATGTTCAACCTTCTCTGCCCCTTCTGTGAATGTGGCATTGAAGAAAGGAAGCGGGACGTTGCATGCTCCGTGGACTAAGCCTACTCTAGGATAAATCTACAAATACCATCCAGGAGTAACAGCTCTGGTGGTGGTCGAATGGAACTCATCACCGTGTTGCTCGAGCTGTGGCATCTTGCAAACAGGGTCCAGATTCTGGAGATAGATGCTCAGCCTGGATGAAGTTGAGGAGGAATCGTGTGAGTTGAGGAAACCCAGAGCTGACGGGACAGATTAGAAACTAATTCAAGTACTGGCCTGATTGAGCCCTTCAGCCTTGTGAACTTGGGATCAGAACAACCGAGGGGATGTCACAGTTCTTCAACAAGTCTTAACTTCAGGTTGCACAAGGGAGGAGTGTTTGGGTGAAGGGGGGTGTTACTATCGATCCCAATTCAGCATGGGCTGCAAGTTCTCGCTGTGAGTTAAACGCAGCAGTGTAGCTGCGTTGATTATACGCAGCTGGGGGATTTTTAAGTCATGGAAGAGATCGAGAACTACCTGAGCCTGAGATTTATCCATCTCACACTTTTGTGAGTTTGTCGAGGATGAATCGGAACTTTTGCGCTTTGCCTTTCCGAGGCGACCCAGTGCCACAAGTTAAGAATCCCCCGATCAGGGTTGACACAGAATTAGGGGTCAGAAGTAGGAGGGGAAAGAGTGAAAATAGGCAAAAGCTGGTGTGAACACCAACATGGACATTGGGGAAGAGATTTTCTGTGGCTTATGACAAGAAGGATAAAAACCCAATAGATTTAATCGGTGATGTGTTCCACGTGAAGCTGTAGTCGCTACTTCTGGCTCTCCAGTCTCGCTGAGAGGTGCCGTGCCCGTCATCACTATCGCCACAGCCCTTGCAGTGTCCGCTTCAGCTCAACAGATTTGTCCTCGCAACATCTGCACCTGTGGAATTTAATCTGTCGTTGCTGCACCAGCTTCGGCGATCTTGTTTCGGTGAGTGTTCAACATTGCAGCTCGCAATACGATCGTTATTGCTGTGTTTGATTCAATACTTTGATTAAACATGCAAAGTGAAGAACGTAGAGAGACAATTTATGTTCTCGTTACGATTTAGGTGGGTTATGGAGTTGTGGATCTCGAAGCTGCTCTATTTTTGTTTTATTTTATTTTATTTTTCCAATTTATTTTCCTTATGTTTTTTCGGAGATAGACGGACTGACGAATTGGGATCTTGTTTCTTGGGTAGAGAGATTGGTGCTTTATCCTTCTTCGGTCAGTCTTGTTTATGTTTATGATGATATGTGGCTGCAGCGGATGCCTCTCAGTGGAGTGGAGTGGAGTAGAGGTGTTGTGTGACGGTAGAAGCACTTTATTTGCGCGCAATTAGCGGTTTGTCTCGTTTTAGAGAAGGAAACCCTAAGTGTTGTGTGATTCATTTGTTGTTTTGTGAGTGATCATCTGCAGGTTTTGTAAAAGTTTATTGTCTGTTTGTAACAGGGTTAGTAATTGTTGATACATATTTATATATATCATCTAAAGTCTCATTGAATCTTGACCCAGGTTGAGTGTATTGTCGGTTGAAATTGCGTTCGTCTTGTCAAGGAGTTTCTCACCTTCTCTATTTTTCTATTTTCCATGTTTTCCTCATGTTAGGGTGCTCGTATTTAAGGGGCACAAGGTGATCAAAGAAGTGATCTATCACAGGTGAGGTGGGGTTTGGGTCGTCAAGATGCAGATCTTTGTGAAGACGTTGACAGGGAAGACCATTACTCTTGAAGTCGAGAGCAGCGATTCCATCCAAAATGTGAAGACCAAGATTCAAGTACGTGCACTTCTGGATCTACTGTACTAAATTTCGAGTTTCTCAACTTTTTCAATACTCGTGGTATCATCATATGTTTATGCGTTAGTTCTGAACTTAACAGCGGCTGCTCTATGATTTATTATGAAGACATTCAATCACGACTGGGCTCCATTCAAGTTCCAGATATGCAATCATGATTGATGAGCCTACTACGTCAAAATGAATGTGGAATGGAAATTCATGGTGCAGGACAAGGAAGGCATTCCACCTGACCAGCAACGGCTGATATTCGCTGGTAAACAGTTGGAGGATGAGCGTACACTGGCAGACTACAATATTCAGAAGGAATCAACCCTGCACCTGGTGCTCAGGCTCCGGGGAGGTACCATGATCAAGGTGAAGACCCTTACTGGGAAGGAAATTGAAATTGACATTGAGCCTTATGATACTATTGAGCGCATCAAGGAGCGTGTGGAGGAGAAGGAGGGCATTCCTCCCGTCCAACAAAGGTAGATTGAATTTGCTGGTTCTTTTACAGTAGTTATCTGTAGTTCATAGGTCGGTGGTTGCTGAAAATTTTACTTTCAATAGTTCAACTCTGAAAATTTTCACAGGGATTGTTTTTTCTTAATGCTATAAAATAGCATTTGTTGATGAAGCTACTAATTGTACTAGGATTGTTTATGCTGCTCGTACATTGAGAACGCCTCGCACTTGATGATTTGTTACTGCTGTATCTGGTCATGGCAGGCTCATATTCGCCGGAAAGCAGATGAACGACGACAAAACTGCACGAGACTATAATATTGAGGGAGGATCTGTGCTGCACTTGGTGCTTGCTCTCCGCGGAGGTTGGTGATCACTACAAACTGTCTTTTGTTGTTACTAGATCATTGATTAAGGTGTGGCAATTAGCATGTTGTTTCTCTATCAGGCTGATTCTCATCCTTCAGTTCCGCGAGAAATGCTATGTGTTTTGTGTGGACATGCAAGCTGTAGTATACAACTTGTTTCTAACAGACACGACGATGCATGTCTTGATCTGTACTTTGGTTTACCATATTGTAATCCTACTGGAAGGGAATTGTGTGAAAATATTTTCCTCGCTGAACGGCTTGAAATGAGTACAAGATAAATACATTAGCTTGCATGAAGTCCTGCATATGAGGTTTTCATTTTGAGATAGAAATTCATGATTCCACGGCTGTTAGGTCCATTATATCTTTAACCATCAGATTTTGAGCATAGGTGGTGGGTATCGTTGGAATTTTAACAATTCGCTTTGTCTAAACAATCATCTTCAAAAGATTAGGCGTTTTGTGTTGGCTTCAATCAACAGGTTAGTTAACAAATGAGATCCAGAACGATGTCCTTGACCTCTCACCTAGTCTCCTCAGCTTGACGAAATATTATCAGCACTTGCACATCAGAATCAACATACAACGCATGTGATATAGCAAAGTTTTCTAAATTGGCTGTCCTAGGTAAGAAACATTCCTGAAATTAGCGTTTATCTTGCGGGTAAGCACCCTCCTCTCTTTGAATGTCATTGAGTGGAAAGACCTTACCCAGGTAGAAACCTGTTATGAAGAATCTGCAGAGAAGGTTATGATAATTTGAAAATTATTCAGTTAATGAAGCTGTGAATCCTTCTTCATGCTTAAGAGTTTCCCTCTCAAACAAAGTAGGATCCAAAATACAAATCACACGTGCGAGGGACAAAACACAGCATCTAGATGTCTTCTAAGGCGCTCAAATGCAACTCCGTTGAGGCGGAATTTGAGACTGCTACAACGTGGACGCAAAGGGGTGCTATGTTGTACTAGCATTGGTGTTGCAGATGAATAATGAAGGTTGTAAACTCGACTTAATCCCAGCAACATTCACATCTATGAAATTCCCAAATGCTTCAAGCATGTATAAGATCTTTACAAGTGCAAAGCGTTGTTAGTTATTTGGAGAGCACGGTGGCTTCCCTTCCCCAACTCCGCATTGTCCGCATAGGAATGCGCCGGCCTCAGTGTCAGAGAGTGGACCGAGTGCCTAGAATCATCGACTTTGGTTAGTTTTTCTTTGACAAAAGAGCTGCAACTTCGCAATACATGTCTAAGTTACAAGTTATAACTTCGACAAGAGATTCGCTCAAGTTCTGGAGTACGCTTGATCGTTGTGATGAATCTGCACTCTAAAGTGTCAATTCTATTTACTCTAGTCGTTTAAAATTTCCATTTCCTGAGGCCCGGAAAAGCTTGATATAAGCTTTAGGGGTTCACAGCATTATGGAAACCTTGGAGAACCACGTTCTTCATTAGCATTTGTCGATCCTTGTGGTCTTGAGCACAAATCTCATTTCCACAATCTTCTAGTGTTATGGGTTTCAACTACAAGTTCACTCTATTTACTGGATATCATCTCGCTACAATGTTTGTTAGCCGTTCGAATGAAAAGTGAATTAATTGGGATAAATATATAAAAATTTAACAAAAACTGCTATCGAATTCCAGGTGAGCACTACAGAAACATGCCAACGGTTTCGTTTACACGCTTTGTATTCATTAATTGTCTACAAACACTCTAAAATATTTCCAGATTTTTTGGTTTTTCAACCGGGGCTATGAATTAATTTGAAAGGTATTTTATTCATTCTAACATGTTTTATACATTAACAAATATTAAGACTTAAATAAAATAAAATGGTTGAACATTTAGTGATTTAAGGGTACTTTATACCTAAAAGTCCACTTTGAAAAGCCATGGCTCAAAAGTTTTTACTAAGTTCCTCTGCTTGGTAAAAATAAATTCTTGTTTTAGAGTCTTGGCCTTTGGATTTAGTATAAAATAAGAAAATATCATAAATTGAACCAAATCATTCTTTTATTGCAAGACTATATATATAAACTCTTACATTTTACTAATAGTTATGAAAAGTGTAAAAAAAATGATTTTTTTAATTGTTATTTTATCATTTTCAAACATTGCTACTTACATTCATCTAAAAACCTCCTCTTTGCAATGAAACCAATAGAAATTTTAAGAGACAACATTATTGATGTCATTAAGGAAAAAAAGAAACAACATAAAATGTCTTCAAATTGGTACCATAGATTAAGGGGAATATTAAATAGATCTATGCTTTTACAAAATCAATCTTTGATGAAGAATATGGTAATCATGATGAATGTGGTTGGTTTTCATTGGTTGCAGATCTAATAGTAGAAAAATGAATCAAGAGGTTGATTATTTTTTTAATGATAGTTAGGATGGATGGAACATTTTGTAAAAAATTTGGTCTATTTAACATTCTCCTAAATTAATATCATATAATTCATAAGAAAGAGCAACATATGTAAAAAAATAACATTCATTTTTACATTGTGATAGGGCAACAATATGTTTTTAGCCCATGAAAAGACATTTTTATCTTTGCAATTGACAAGACTTCTTTGTCTTGGCCAATGACTAGTGTTTTATTAGAAGAACATAATTCAAACATATGAGGCCAACATACTTCTTTACATTATGAATGAACATATATTTTAGTGTTTTTGGTATAAATTTTTGTTATTTTATTGGATTTTATTATTATTATTATATTATAGATATTGTGTTATTTTGGTAGTTTGAACATTAATATATTTATCTAAAGAACTAAACCTAAATGCCTCTTTTGACAAAAACAACAAGATACAAATGATCATTTTAAAAATTAGGATTCTTTTGCAAGGTTAGTGTTATAACTTCTATTTGTATTTTTTCACAAGATTTAATAATTTATTCAATGATTTAAAAAAAAAAAAAAATCAATTCAATTAATCTATCACAAATTAATTAGATATTTGTAATAATAATATGAAGTTGAATAAAAACTTTAGTGTTTGAAATTCTCCATATATATAGACATAGATATAAATATATATATATATATATTGAAGATTTAAAAAGAAAAATCTAACTGAATGGTATCAACATTGTCATGATTGATAAAATTCATGAGCAGGTGGAGATTCAATTTTTTTTGAGGATTTAGGGTTTTTATGGTTTACATGGTTAGTTGAAATATTTTGGTTCTAAAACTACTCGATAGATTGTACATCAATTAGAGCATTTGCCAAGCAGGCTATGGATTGAGACACGCTTTCAGGCGAAATCAATATCTGTGTTTTGTGATTCCTGATGCAGACAGAATGGCTTGCGAGTTCAAATCTTGCAACCAAGGTTATAGGGTTAAGTCGTTCTGGTGAAGAGTAAAGCTTCGCCATGCCAAAGTCACAAACGGCGTCCGCGCCAGAGTTAAACATTGTTAACAATGCAGTGATAATCTAAAGCGCCGTCTCTTCTACCACAGATTCAACTTGTGTTCGCTTGCGCCTGGCTGCTTCGAGACCTGAGGCTCAAAAACTTGACGAATTCACATGAGTTACATCTCTACAACCTCTTCGCCGAGGGGACACGCCTCGCTGCTCATCTAGTTGATGGAGAGCTTTCCATGGAAATTCGGGTCCGATTGCTCCTCACCAGCCGCACTGAGGCCTACAAATAAGAATCCTCTGAAAACCTAACAATATAGAGAAGACCTAACCATCGATCTCCAGATATATGGTCTCAGTCGATTCGTGATCGGCATTTTGCCAGCAACTACTTGACTCAAAATCCGGTCATCATCCCAAGGAAACCAAACTGAAGTGAATCTCGTAGAATAGACAAGGTAACAGACACGCAGAACTACATTACAGAAGCCAAATTGCACAACCTGGCAGATAGCGGGGTCCAAAATCATCATCCAATGCAGCGTTGCCCAGCCAACCGCGTCTCAATCATGCAACGGAATCTCGTCCTCTGCTGCAATTTTTTGCCATTTGTCACCGAGACTCTCGAGAACCGCGCGAAGTGCCACTTCAAGCCCAAATGCAGCAACTTTTCAGCCTAGAGGATAGATGGGTATCTGGATCGATGAATGCTGAAAACATCCTCTTCTTCGATATATACTGGCTTCGGAACAGAAAGCCGCAGACTCGTCGATTCCTGGATCAGACGTCTGCAATGAGTAACTAGCTATGATGTCGGATTCGATCAGATTAAGAAATGTTCACAATTGCGATGGTCGAATCGGTGGGCCTTTTTGGTAAGAGCCTCCAACATAAGAGTGGAGAAAAGATGCAGGAATCTAAACTGTTAGCGCCAACTTGGATTCGAAATTGCTGATGCGGCACCGGAATTTCTATTCATGCATCTTCATGCAACGCGAGCCTTGAAGGACATGCAGATGTACCAAGTCTTCTCCAAACAGCTATGGAGGTAGGGGGAGACGAAGTTTCGCTACGAAGCAAAGTCTCCGGTGTTTGGTGGTGCTTAAATGTTAGCGTGAGGCGAGTAACGCGGAGGCAGTGAATTTAAGTGTGCGAAACATGTGATGATTGCCGCTACCGAGAATATTGGACATTCTCATTAATAGCATATCTCCGATGCCGCCGGGTAAGAGCTTTCGCCGGCCGGTGCAGCGGGGCTGGCACCCAAGCTTGGTCACTCCTCATTCGATGGATTGCAGTTGCATTTGTGTCGATTCCCCTCGTCGTCGATATAAATCTCCCCGCGGATTCCATGAGGATTACCGTTTTGCAGTATTTCTGTTCCGAAGGTGGACGAGTCTCTAGCTTAGTTATCCAAGACTGCTCGTTTCGCTCCTTCGAATTCAGTCTGCTTGGCACTTCATGGCTTGAATGGGGTTGATTGTCAAAATACTGTTTCAGGTACTTTCTACATTTTTGAGAGCAGTGCACAGGAGGTCATGAATGCAAGAATTGTTTGCAACTTTCTAATGGAGATTTTGAAGTTCACTCATGCCATTTTTCGAGAATCTTTTTCGCACATCGCCAAGTGTTTCTTGAATTTTTAGTTAAATTCAATTGCTATCAATTACTATTACGACATGTGAACCAAAACTCTATTGATTTCTATAGGTTTACATTCTTATTTGTAGTACTCGTACCGATTTGTTGCGTCTTTCTTGTTAGTAGGTGCAGGTGAATATTTCATGGAGGTTTAAAATCAATGATTCAAGCTCAGCATTTAAGGCATGTTTCGAGGCGTGCGATAGAGGCGCTTTGAATTGAAGACTTCTTAAGCATCGTGTAGTTTCGCTACGTAATTGTCAACTTTCCTAGCGCGTTTTTTTTTTTTTTTTTTTTTTTTTTTGGCAGACTAATTTAATTTAGTAGTTAAAATGTCTCCCCGGCCCTCGTCGGTGATGACTCCACCCAGACAGTCGTCCGTCATGCCTCCCAGGGCGCCGGGACCAGCAATGACAGCCGCAATGGAGCACTTTGAGAGGATACATTTGCAAGAGGCTGCCAATTTGCTCAAAGAGCTCGACAAGCCGAGCTATGGACAAATGGACCTGGCTAGGAAGAGCGTCGATCTTGGTAGGAAGAGCGTCGACCTCGGCAGAAAGAGTGTAGATCACAGAGACACCGCTACAACCGATCATCACCAGGACCATCACAAAAATGGAGAACATCACCATAGACATAGTGATCAACACAGACGCATCGACCGTCACTGCCACTCGGATCACCACAAGTCTCACCAAAAGTCCCACGGATCCAGCCACCATCACCGGAGCCCACACAGGCGCCGCCACCACCGTGATGACGACAAGAACTCCATCTCGAGCAACTACACAGACGCAGACGACAATGTGTCGAATGCTTCCAGTGTTCACCGTGAGAGGCATCATCGTAGCCACCACAGCCGCAGCAGCCATCACAAGGAACATGGCAGCCATTCACACCACCACAGCAGCCACAAAGATCACCACCACTCACGGGATCGCTACCACCACCGCTCGTACCACAGCCCAGACCGCCACTCTCAGCACAGTCAAGAGCGCAGCTCGGGGCATAAGCACCATGCTCGGTCACCGGAGCGCCATGGCCATTCCTCACACAGCCACCACTCACAAGGGCACCGTCATCGCAGCTCAAGCCACAAGTCTCATCACTCACGCTCACCAGATCGCCATCACAGCCATGGTCACAGGCACCACCATCACAAGGAATGCTCAGATGGCCACCACTCCAGCCACCACAGCAAGGAATCACGTGGTCATCACCATCACTACGAGTCCTCGGAACACCGCGGCCATCATAGGAGCCGGGATCACAGTGAGGGTTCGGAGCACCGCGGTCATCACAGGAGCCCGGATCACAAGGAGAGCTCGGAGCACCGCGGCCATCACAGGAATCGGGATCACAAGGAAGGCTCGGAGCACTCCCACCCAGCCTCCTCCTCCCATCACCGAAGCAGCCCCCACAAGAAGGAGAGCAGCAAGTCTCGCCATGACCAGCACAAGGACCGTCAGTGCGAAGACACGGAATCTATCATAAGTCGGCGAAGCGATGCCTCGATTCACACGCATCATCGTCGCCACGCCCTTCCTGTAAATTAAATCTCCGGTTTTATTCTTGTAGTTTGGTGTAGACTTTTGATGTAGGCGGTACAGGTTCCATACCGACGAGTAGATGTTGATTCTAGAGTAAATTGTGCAACACGATCATTCCCTTTGTATTCCAGATTTGAATTCCAACATTGTAAGGTACCCATTCTTTCAAAATATTATCTGATCTTGTGCTGCTCCCTGTGACCACATCGAATTCTCAGCTGTCACCGTTACCTATGGTGATTAATCAACAATGTAAGCATCACCTAAAATAAAATAAAATAAAATAAAAAGTACAGACGCGTGTAAATGTTTACAGATAAACATGGATAATGTGTGTACATACAAATACAAGGAAATAAGGAAATAAAGAAAAAGAATGATCCGTGACAATAACTTTTTGTCTTCTAAAAATGTAAAATGGCACATTAAAAACAGAAGTCATTCCCTTTTTTGACTATTGAAGTATACAGATAAGAGATTTAAAACCTTGAGATTAAAAGACCTATGTCATGGGAATTGCATGTTTTGGCCAATTTAGAAACCAATTACTATAAAAACGGATATGTGCATCAAAAAGAAAAAACAAACAAACAAAACAAAACAAAACTTTCTGTAATTGATGTAAAAAAAAAAAAAAAAAAAAAAAAAACACACACAATTCAACCAAAAGAAGTCATAATGGTGTCTTCTGATTTTAGTCTTTTAATTAATATGTAATTATATATTATATACTAAATCTACAAGACCCACAATAGAAAAAAATTACTCTGTTACTTGAATCAGATTTTAAACTTGTAATACATGAATTGATGAACTCATTCTCTTGTAATATAAAAATCAAAACTAATTTAACATTTGAGTTTTAAAAATTTAATCCTAATAAATAAGCTGATGTGACATTCTTATTATTATCATCCAAATTTAAAGTAAATACACTGCTATTGTAATATTTAAATAAACAAACATTAATTTAATCAATGATTCTTTTTAGATTTCAATTTGACAATATTCAGAATAAAAATTTCGAAAATAACAATAAGATTTTTTTTTAATATTATTATTATCATCTTTGTAATTATATACTTTAAAACGTCATATTGCTTTATAATTTATGCAAATGTAAATATGATTGTAATGAATACTTGGCTGATCAAATGGATTGTGTGATGTGTGTTAAAAGAAGAATATTATATATCCCCTTCAAATCATGTATTATAATGTCTTATTATTAATTTAAAATAATTGAATCATTTATTAACTTATTCCAACACAAAATATAACATATTAATTTTGTGTATATATACAACATGGTAATTAAATATGTATATATTTTTATATTATAATTTTTAAAAATATGTTTTAATACCATGTATTCTTGTTTGTTAAATATTTCTAAAAAGAATTTTTTTTATATAGATGTTTTTTTTTCTTCTAAAAATAATATCTATCTAATATATTTTTAAATGTTTTTGCTTACTTCTATTTATTTATTTTTATTCAAGTTATATATATATATATATATATATATTATATTATTTCATTTGCCTTCTATAGATAAATTCTATAAAAAGCAGTCTAGTTGCTTCACAAGTTTATTTGTCAATTGATATTTGTCATAAATAATAATTTTTACTTTAACAAAGATAATTGTTACTTCCTTTGAGCCATCAATTAAATCTCATAATAAAGGAAGAAGTCAACCATGTATTTTTATAATTGAGTAGGCTTTTATAATTACTTTTAAATTATATATTTGGAATGTCATGAGATGTAGAACCTACTTCAAATAATATCACCAAGTATTAAGTCTCTATTCAAAGATCTAGATATTACATACTTTGTACCTTAAAATTTATTTTAAAAAATAAAAACATTTATATTAAGAATTTTTTATTTCCATTTAATACATAATATTTGTAAAAAGAATAAATGGTGTATTTAAAAATTTTAAAAATAAGAATTTTTAAAATAAGTTTGTCAGTTGTTTATATGTCACAAATATATATATTTACTACAATAATTATCTATATAATATAATAAGTAGAAGTAGGTAAAAATAGATAAATTTGATAAATATCTTATAGAAAAGTCTTTTAGAAGCTTCATAGATATGGCTTTGCCTTTATATGTTTCCATATGTGATTGATAGGTTAAAAACTTGGCCAACAAATTGGCTACATATTGCACATGTTGACTACTTGGAATAGAAGTTGCATATGTGGTGCATATATAAAAAGCTTGTCTTATAAATAAGACAAGTGACTTGCAAGTTGAACTTGTGTCTAAGGTCCTATAAAACATTGCTACATAGCTTCTAGTTAGATATTATATATGGAGGCAAAATGAAATCTTCTTCATTCTTATCAAGTTCTTTCTTGCTTCTAATTTAATTTTAAAATTTTGTAGACTTTAGCAATAGCCATTCCAATTTCTTCTTAAATATACATATTTGATCATTTTCTTTATGTCATCTTTCTTTGACATACATTTCACTTGTTTATTTACATTCTTTAAATTCTTATCCTAGATGCATGGATAAGAATATACTTATAATATCAAAGCTTTATCTTTTCTTGATTAAGAGTAGATTATTTTTTTATTTTTTTATTTTTTATTTTTTTATAAGACACAAATATATTAGAAGTTATAGATTATCTACTTCTAAACTAATATTGTTTTTGAAAGTTTTTTTGTCTTCAAGTCTTTTTTTCTACTTTTCTTGAGTGGTATAAGACATCTTTTTTTTTCATTATGTTATCATGATAAAGCTTGTTGAAATAAAGAGTGAAATGGTATAAATTCAAGAATAAATAAGGGATATAATACTTGAAATGCATCAACTTAATTTAGTACTACAAGGAGCTATAAGATTAGCAAAAAATAAAGAAATAGAGATAATTGGAGTTGTTTCAATATCTACAATAAATCATGTTACTTCTCTTCTAGTTGAATATTGTTCAAGCATTAAAGAACCAAAAATTACCTTCATTGAGAAGTTCAATGGCATAAGTTCAAAATCTTAAAGATTTATTAATCAAATACAATTGTTGATTGGGCTTCAATTTGAAAGCTAACAAATTTCAAAATTACAAATCATGTTTATTGTAATATTACTTTCAGATTCTTCTTTATTATATTTTTTATTTATTTTTTAACAACAAGATCCAATGTTACATAATTTAAAGACTTTTTTTTAGTAGAATTTTGATCCATATATAGAAAACATAATGCAATTTATATTGCAATCAATAAAATTTATATTTTATAATAAAAAAATTAATTAATAATATTATAAGCTTCAAAATTTTAACAACTTTTGACTCATATCAAATAGAATAATGTTACACTCATTAATCAATTTTTCTACGCATAATAATATAAAGTAAAGAAATTAATGATAAATTTATTTAATCTTTAGACATTGAATGAAGCAATTGACTTTGTTATGAAGTGTGACAACTAATTTTTTAAAATTTGATTTAAAAGTCATAAAAATAGACCTCAATATTTTTATAATTCAATGACAATATCAGTACCTTCTCAATACCTTCTCAACACCTTTTCAACCTACAAATTGGTATAGTATGTTTTAGCTTTTTTATTAAGTAAGAAAAGATCTATTATTGTCAAGAACAATTACACTTATATTACAAAGAATCTAAGCTTACTACTCGATATTATCCAAATAAGCTTCATAACCACAAAATGAAAAGTATGGCTATCAAAAAGATAATATGTTGAAAAATAAATTTGTTCAACTACAATACGAATCATGTGGCTAGAATCTTGTACAATACCTACTGAAGATCTTATTTTTTCTTCAAAATCCTCTCTTTGTTTTACAAAAGATGATTTTTTAAGACTTAAAAATTACAAAGCCTTTACTTTGCTAGATTTAAGAGCCTCAATGAATTTTTTAAATGAAGATTTTGTTAAAAAACATAGCATATTCTAAATAAAAAAAACTAAACATGTATATGTAAAAATCATAGATGATTATTTATTATATTTTAGAAATTTTATTTATATTTTTTTTATAAAATAATAATAAATGATTATAATAGCTTTGTAATATTCATTATAATTAGATTTTTTTTAATTCAATCATATTAGGTTTATTGTGGCTAAATAAATATAATTCTTGAATACATTATATTTCTTTTAATATTGATTTTTTTCAAAGTACAATTAAAAGTTTTCTTGACCAAATAATAGCCTTAAGTTTAGTGCAATCAAATCCTTATTTGTAGATATAAGAGCATTCATGCATGTTGTAAAAGAAGTGTCACCTTTTTTCATTTATGCCACATCCATTTCTAATGGTGGAAAGACTTTATATGGCATTTTAGGCTGGTATCAAGATTATTAAGACGTTTTTGAAAAAAGAAATAGTGTTGATAATCTTTCAAAGAATTGTCTTTATGATTGCTTAATTGACCTTCAAAAAAAACTCAACATCTATTCAAATCGATCTATAACTTATTACAAAATGAATTGGTTGCACTCAAGGAATATATTGATAAAAACTTAGCATAGAATTTCATATGCCATTCAAAATCTCAAGTTGGATCTTTTCTCTTATTTATAAAGAAAAAAAAAATAGATCACTATGGATGTGTATAGATTATTGAATATTCTATAAGATCACCATCAATATTATGTATCATTAATCTTTAATATCAAAATTTTTTGATAAATTAAATTAATCCAAAATATATACAAAAATAGATCTATGAAAGATATACAACTTGGTATGCATAAAAAAAAGAAATAAATGGAAGATTGTATTATGAACCAAAGTATAGAAGTTTTGAATATAATATCATGTCTTTTAAATTTATAAAAGTATTAGATATTTTTCAACATCTGATTAAAGATGTACTTTGAGAGTTTTTTAATGGCTTAATTTTTTATTATTTAGACCATATTTTAATCTATTCTAAGAATTTGGAACAACATGAATTTCATGTTTATTGAATGTTACAATAACTTAGAGATGTAGGATTACATGGTAAGTCTAAAAATAAATAAATAAATAAATTTAGAGCACTTAAATTGACTTTTAATGATATATCATTTTAAATGATGGTCTTATTGTAGATCTTAAGAAAGTTTAAACTAGCATAGATTAGAAGATTCTAAAAATAATAAAAAATATTTAATATTTTTTAGAATTCTTTAATTATTATTAG